CGAGCGCAGCCCGTGCAGCCTCCGCCGGCATGTGCCAAGCTGAGACCTGCAGCTCTCACCACACTGCCCTCAGCCGTGGCCCCCGTTTGCCCCCTAGGCAAAGCTACCTGCCCTACACGTGGCCGGCACATTGCCAGCACCGAGCCCACGGGCATCCCGCTGTGCCGGGGCCACGCGCTGTGGGATGAGCTGTGGCGGGGGTCCGCTGCGGGTCCATGCGGGACCCTCTCCCGCTGCCTCGCCAGTAGGGCCAGGAGTGAACCCAGTGCCACCGTCACGCCCGTCCCTGGCAGGATGGATGTAGTGGGTCCCATGGGCGCAGTCGCAGCCCGCCCAGCCTGACCAGCCCAGCCAGCAGCCCCCAGGCTTTGCCCGTGACGCTGGAAGGGGGTCTGGGTACTGCTGGCATCCTGGGGCCAGGGTAACATATGTCCTCCTGCCGCAGCTACGGGCAGCACGTCCAGCACTTCAAGGTGCTCAGGGAGAGGAATGGCAAATATTTCCTCTGGGAGGAAAAGTTCAACTCCCTCAACGAGCTGGTGGATTTCTACAGGACGACCACCATAGCCAAAAAGCAGCAGATCTTCCTCCGGGACGAGGACCAGACCCAGGAGGTACAGTGAGAGGACAGGGCTAGGGGGGTGTGCAGGGCTGGGGTGCACAGCCAGCAGCAGTGATGGACTTGGAGCCCACGTCAGATCCCCTTTGGAATCACCCATCACTCCCCTGGTACCAGGGCTACTGCCACCCCGGTACAGTCCATGGGGAAACTGAGACACAGGGAACAGACCTGTGGGTCAGCAGCACCACCAACCCTGGACTGTGCTCATGAGGAGGTGTCACGGGGCTACAGCTCCAGGGGGACGGGGGTTTCCTCCTGCCCGAACTTTTCCTACTCCTCTCTGCTGTTTCTTACCTGTCATCAGCATCCCGTGGGCACAGAGCAGAGACAGGCAGCACTGCGGGCAAGCAGGCAGGCTGCAGAAAAGCCACCAGCACAGCTTGGTGGCACAGGGCAAGGCACAGCAGCTCGCCACAGGCCCACACCAGCGTCCCTTGAGCCAGGGGTGATACCCGAGGCGGGCGGCAGAGCCTGACCAGCTCAGGACGGGGCACAACCAGCTTTGGGCGAGCTCCAGCAAAGCCAAGCCCTGGGGTGGCGGTTGTGGAGGTGACAAAGCTGGGACCTGGCAGTTGGGTTGGGGGCAGCTCTGGCACCCAGAGAGGCCCAGGAAGGAGAGGGGTGCCACCTGCCACTGAGGGGCAGGGGTCCCCTGGGCACCCATCTCAGCTCTCCTGGGCAGCAGGAACAAGGAGCCCTGTGCCCTGGAGTGCTCCC